ATTTCTTTCCAATTTGTTTTTTATCATATATATATATATATATATATATATAAATTCATTTAATTTAAATAATCTTCAACAGAATGCAGAAAGCAAAATTTGGAAAAGTCCTATTTGGGACTCCTCAAATTTCAAATGTGCATCCAATACTGAAATTGAACCCAGATTTTTTGATACAACACAAATGTCATTTAATTAAAAGTTTTGACCCATGGACCTGATATATATACATCAGTGTTATGACATTTTATAAAATAACTGATTTCCTGTATCATAAGTTAACAAACCTTTGTTAAAAAATAATGAAGATGGGATTAATTCAGTTTACTTTTTTAAAAATGTCATCCCCAACACAAAATTTCCAAAATTGTATACATATAGTATTACTAGAACTTGTATTTTTTTATTTATAAAGTTGTATGTTATGCTATAGCTATAAACTGTTAAATGTGTTCAAAAATACATAAGTACTAGACAATTGCATCATTAGCAAATTGAAAAATAAAGCTTCTAAAATATTTTGTTTTTTCATCCTTATTGCGTATATGGTAAAAAAAAAATTCATATAATAGATCTTTTTGCCCAAGAACTAAAACAAATTAATGCCTTTTCTTTTATTACTTCTGAATAAAAGTTCATCAATTTATGACATCTAAGACATAAGGTTTCAAAAAATTTATAACCCTTATATATATATATATATATATATATATATATATATATATATATATATATAAAAATATAAAGAACAGTAAGATATGTAATCCGATTGTTCTTATAGATATTTTTATTTTTATAAAATAGTGCTCAATGTAAATTTACAGAGCATTAATATTATAAATTGATTTATTTAAAATATGGTTTTTTTATCTACACAGTTCAGTAACCAAATTTTCAAAAATGGAAGCTAAAAATTGTAATTTAATTTTGTAATTATGGGTGTTAAAAATTACAATTAAAACTAAATTAAAAAAAAGTGGACTTCCTAGAAAGTAACAAATAATTCTAAATAAAAAACATACACAAATTATAAAAAAATTCCCATTAATAATCAAGCATTTATATACAAAGTAAATCAAATCACCCCCATCTAACATTAAAATTGATATACAGCTATCTATTTCAAAAAAATTAATTAACCATAATACAAATTCAAACAAATGAAACCAAAAAAATTTTGATGGAAGAATAAAAATTCCTATAATAATTCTCTAAAAAAGAGTAATCTACAAAAACTCAAAACTGCTCTTATAAAAAAAATGTCGCATGGAAAGCATTAGTATAAAAAACAGATGTATTTCTTTATTTGAGATACTCCCCCATATAAATATATAAATGGTTGCAAAACAAATTAGGACAAAAATTCAAACAACATCAATTCATTTAGCATTTTCCTAGTGAAAATCAAACTAAGTCTATTTTCAATAAAAACACACTAAAATTGAATTACACCTACAGTAAAATGGAAACTTAGAAAAAATTATTAAGAACCATTAAATGCTAATATCTTAAATAAACAACTTATACCAACCCCCCAAAAAAAAAAAAGACAATGGAAAAATAAAGATAAAAACTTATGAAAATAAACAAAAATTATGTAAATAATGTTTAAAAAAAAAAAACAATTAAAAAAAAGGGACAAAATAAATACTTATATTTAACAGGAAAAAATAATTTTATTAAGTAATTCAATGCAATATCTCTTTTTCTGAAAGTCCTGAAAACATAAAAAACATAAAATATAGGTTGCATTTAAAATTGAGTTCAAAAAAATTTCAACCAAACATCAAAGTTCATTCAGGATAAATAAATATAAAAATCAAACATCTCTCTCAAAAGTACTACTGGCATCTAAAAGAATCAAATAAAACACCTACAGAAAAATGAAATTATGATAAAAAGCTTGAAGATTAATAAGAATGACCCATGCCCTTTGAATACATGTGTAAATATTATGAGTAAAATTTAAATAAATAAAAAATAAAGTTTAAAATCAGAAAATGAATTAGCTATTTTTGCCGTAATTGTCATAAATTTTATTAAATAATATTTAAAAATAAAATTTAGTAATATACATATATACTTGATATGGAAAAATAATTTTACTTACTATAAGTAATTCTAATACATTTCCTTCTATTAAAAAGTAATATAGTCTATTAAAACTAACAATGAAAATATTTTAAAGTTGTAATTAAAATTGTAGTTAAATAAAATGAATTCTAACCTAACCTAAACTTCTTTTAACTTAGTACTACAAGTACACTTAAAAGAATCCAATAAAACACCTACAGTAAAATAAAATTAATATGAAAATGCCAGAAGATGTAAGCTTTTGAATGACCCATGTCCTTTGTACTTACATGAGAAACAATATATTACTAGGTTTATATAAAAAATAAAAGTTTACTAAATCAGTGAAATTAAGTAACTATTTTTTTTTTGTCATTGTCATAAATTTTACTTAAATATTTAAATACAAAAAAAAAATTTTGTAACCTAATAATATATACTTATATAGTTGATGTAAAAATAATTCTACATACTATAAGGGATTCTAATACATTTAATTGTTCTTAAAAAAATATAGTATATTAAAAATTAAAAATGAAAATATTTCAAATGGTAGTTAAATAAAACGTATTCTAACCTAAACACCCCAAAAAATCTTTAAATATACAAATAGAAAAAAAAATGCCGGAAGAATTTTTGCCGTTAACAATAAAAATTTTAAAAATCCAGACGACATGCATTTAACGGATGTCAGATTTCATTGAAAAATACATCCCTACCCCTACCAAAACGTAAACTAATAACGGATACATCAAAATACAGACATAATGAACACCCAGACACCCCTTGTCCAGTTGAAATGGATTTATCTGTAACCTTGGAAACGTGAATTATGATTTTAGCTGTGTCTTTAAAAACCCAGTAATTTTAAAAGTTACTCCAAAATTCGCTTGAGGATGAAATGGAACTAATGTCTTTAATTTAATTACAAAATTAAATTCGACTTTTAGCTTCCATTTTTGAAACATGGTTAGAACTGTGTAACAAAAAAAACATTTTTAAATAAATTAATTTATAATATATATATATATATATATATATATATATATTTTTATAAAATATAAATTTTAATAAGAACACCTGTGTTTATATATAGACACTCTTTTTTTTTAAATATATTTATATATATATATATATATATATATATATATAAAATGGGCTTTCTGGTAGGGTTTGAACTTTGGTGTCTATTTCAAACGCAAGTATAACATCTGAAATAGTAAATATGAATTAAAAATAAAAATAATTCTTCAGAAATGATTTTGGTTACATTACAGATACAAAGATGAGTAGATATGGGCTTTTGAGAATAACTGATCTATAACACACACACACACACACACACATTATGTATGTATATGGAAAGTGCCTGTAGACCAGAACATCGGTTGACCCAAGCCTTGTGAGCAAAATTGGGTAGAGAGTTTGTTTTTGTTATCAAAACCTGTGATAACATCATTTTCAAATCTACATCATGACTGATTTTGAGCATGCTGGCCTTGTTCAGATTGTTGATCATGCTAGATAACTTTTCTTTCCCAGAAACTTTTAAGATTAGTTGCAGTTTAAAACACAGGTGGGCCCTGTATTTATTGAACAAACACAAATGTGAAATTTTGAACAAGTATCTTTAATAGAATTGGCTAGCCCCTAGTAGATGGGTATCCTTGAATATATATATATTTAAATAATACATATATATGTATATATATTCACACACACACACACACAATTTACACTTCATACCATGTTTAAAAGATAAAAAAAATGAAACATTGTCTAATAATGCCAAATGTCTGTATTTAAGTTACAATTAAGTTTGTAATGACTAATATCAATTTGTAGAATAAAACAGACGATAATGGGTATGTCCTCAGTTATATAAATACAGTATGGAATACTATGTATGTTAGTCTGCAGTTGAAATTCATTCATATAATTCACTTGACTCACTTTTTAATAGTTGACTACTTTTCAATTAATTGGTATTATATGTTTTTTTTCTGTCCTAAGTTATTATTATTCATTACCAACCTTTGTTTGATTATTCTATTCAGTAACCTTCCCTAGGTTACAACAATCAACAACGAAATCATTACGAAAGTAAGAGGAATAATATAGTGCTGTACATTTAACGAAGCACGCTATTCAATCTGACATTGTAAAATACATGTGCACTGTAAATATACACTATTTTGGGCTGCTGTTAAATTCACACTTTTACACTTTTCAACTCTTCTTCCAGATGATATAGTTATAGAAAATTATGAATATAGGACCACTTAAACACACATAGACATCTAAAAAAGAGGAAAGCCCCTGGAGCAATAAGCTACGTGTGTGCTTACACTGACTTAAACACACAGTCATCTAAAAAAAGAGGAAAGCCCCTGGAGCAATAAGCTACGTGTGTGCTTACACTGACATAAAGGGATGTCTTGCCAACTATCAGTCAACTTGTGAAGTAGTGGCTCGTATCCAGTGTTGCCACAACTCCATCTGTAGCATGTGGGACTTACAAACTGCTCCAGATTTTATTCCTTGTTTCCAATATCCATTAAAGGGAGGTTTGTAATGTCAAGGTATGAGTGTATATACTATGCCACAGTCACATCCAGGATATGAATTAAATGAGTTTAATTTTGTCATTTCTTCTTTAACTTTTTCTTTCTTAATGGGATAAACAGATGTCGCAAGAAATTATCTGTTAATCGTACTTGTTGGTAATTTCTAGAATTCCAGTAGTTTCTTTTATAATAATACTGTTGCAATATTTTTCCCTTTAATATATATCCCTAAAAAAGAAAATGTGTTTAAAAATATATTGGATTGCAAAAGTAGTACTTATAGAAGATCTCATGGACTAAAACAATAAAGAAAAGGATAATGAAAAAAAAAATGTAATCAGAAAATATATTATGGGATACTGAGAGAAAGAAAAAAGGAAAAAGAAAGATAAAAAATGAAAGTCAGAATATATATCATGCTATACTGAATAATTTTCTGTCTGTCTGCAAGAAAAAGAAAAGAGAAAAAAAAAATGCAGTATTGAAGAAAAAAAAACAAAAAAAAGAAAGGAAAATGAAAGAAAAAGGAAAATGAAAAAAAAAAGAAAGAAAAGATAATAAAAAAATATATTATCCTGAAAAATTTAACCAATATGAATAAATTTGAAGACAATGATTTTTTTTTTTTAAAAGTCATTTAACACACAGAACAATATGCAAATCAGTTCCCTACCTGAAACTTATGACCATAGGTTCAGATACCTAACCATTCAGCTATCTTTTTCTCCTAACCTCCATCTTTTTTTTCTTGGTTTTGTGCACTACCCACAAGTCAATTAAATAAGAATTAGTGAATGTTAGTGGAGAAATCACGAAATAACAAGATTAAGTAATAGCTACCAATTAAAAAAAGACAAAAATATCTCACAATGCCATCAATTACTGTCAGGAAGGCACTCTCTACAATTTGCACTTAAAAAAAAAAAAAGGAAAAGAAAAAAAAGCACTACTCAACTGGTACCATATTGCAAAATACCTTTCAAAAGATTTGACAGCATTAAGTTTTTTGAGGTTTTTAAAAGGCATGAAAAGCTTTTATTAATTTTGCAATAAACAGACTAAAATTAATTTGGCAGACGAGTCCACTTGTAAAAAAAAAAAAATAGAGAAAATTTTTCTAGTGAATATTATTTGCAGATTAAGATTCTGTAGATCTTCAGAGTGAGACACTTGTCAAATTAAAAAAAAAAAAAAACATTGATTAGTTATCAATTTAGAAAGAGGTGGGTGGTCCTGTTCATAAGTATCAATATAGTGGCAAATTGATCTTTGACAGAGTTATCTGTACTTGGTATTTATTTACAAATGCTGAGCCTTAAAAAATGTGCTTATGTCATTGATATCTGCAGACATTTTTCTTTCTTTTTTAGATTTTTGTTATGTAAATTTTTATCCTTTAATTAAAAATGGGGCACTACTTTAAGAACGTATACAGCTATTTTTTCTTTAATGTCAAAAAATTTGAAAAGAAAAAAATCTATTTTCACCAAAACATTATTGGTTTGAAATATGAAAATAAAACACAATCTTTTGTTTATTTAGGAGAAAGCTATTTGTGAAATAAAATAAAAAATGTTTTTGTATTTATAAATAATGTATATACATTTTCAAAGCAGAACAATTGTAAATAAAAACTAAGTACAGATAACTCTGTAAAAGTTAGGGATAGATTTGACACTGTATTGATATTATGAACTGGACCCACCACCTTCTAAAATGATTAAAAAAATAAAATTTTATACAGCCAAATATCATGGACACCTTCTTTATTTGGCATGTCCCTTCAGGGCATAAATGATAATGGCTCTCCACAATTTCCTGTCTTTTGTAGCTCTTAATAAATTTTGTTATTTTTCCTAAACTTTGTTCCACCATCCATTCACTCAAGCTCACTAAGCATGTTATGCATTGTTTTCTGCTATCCATTTTACCTACAATCTGTCCTGTGAGTATCAGATTTTCCAAGTCACCTTTCCTCATTATGTGTCATAGAAATTTCAACTGTCTCTTCCTGATGTGAAGTATAAGTTTTTTTTTTTTTTTTCTTTCCATTTTCTCTAAAACCTTGGAGGAGTAATGGATTGTGGCTTGGATTGAGGAATCAGAGATCTGGATCTGAATTCCAGTCAAATCCATAACATTCACTTACGTGCAAATACTTTTGGGAAGGGTATGAATCTTCTTCTTCTCCAAGCTATGGGTAAATAGAAGGATAGACTGGGTTCTATAGCCTTGGATGGCAACTGGTCTAAATAGCAACATGTAAAGAAAATGGCAACCTAATTGGAAACAAATCTGCCTCGTCAGTCATGTATCAAAAAATTACATAATCGCCTAAATAAATGTATCACGATTTTACATAAATGACTGACATTGCTCACATGTTTAGTCCTTTTATCCTCAGCATCCTTCTGTAGAACCCTATTTCTGTTGCTTTAAGTCTTTTCTTCATCTTTGAGGAGATTGTCTAATATTCACTAGCATACAGAAGGACAAATATCATATAACAGTCCAGTAATCTTTTCTTTGTTTCTGACAAAGTTTTTCTGTTTCTTAATACTCTGTTTAGCGTTTGCCTATCCCAATGCACCTTTTCATTTCAGTATCATACTTTCTGTCCTCTCTTAAAACAATTCCCAGATATTTAAATTGTTGTACTTGTTTGATTTTGGCATCCCCAGTGTGCAATTTACATGTTGGGCTGTCCATTTTGCTAACAACCATGCATTCTGTTTTCTTGGAATTAAGGCTTAGTCCTTTCTCTTCACTTTCATTCACTCCCTCAGCATCCAGTCAAATCCATTACATTCACTTATGTGCTAATACCTTTGGAAAAGGTATGAATTTTCTTCTTTTGCAAGCTATGAATAAGTAGCAGGATAGACTGGGTTCTATAGCCTTGGATGGCAACTGGTCTACCGCAGAAAGAAATGGCAACCTACTGCGGGAAAGAAATCTGCCTCGTCAGTCATGTATCAAAAGATACATAATCACCTAAGCATGTATAATGCATGGCACATAAATGACTGACATTGCTCACATGTTCAGTCTTTGGTATCCTCAGTATCCTTCTGTAGAACCCTATTTCTGTTGCTTTAAGTCTCTTCTTCATCTTTGAGGAGATTGTCTAATATTCACTAGCATACAGGAGGACAAATATCAGAGTTTTTCTGTTTCTTAACACTCTGTTTAGCGTTTGCCTATCCCACTGCACCTTTTCATTTCAGTATTGCACTTTCTGTCCTCTCTTAAAACAATTCCCAGATATTTAAATTGTTGTACTTGTTTGATTTTGGTATCCCCAATTTGTAATTTCCATATTGGTATGTCCCTTTTGCTAGCAACCATGAATTCTGTCTTTTTGCAATTGAGGTTTAATCCTTTCTATATTCAGATATTTAAATTTTAATTACAGAAGCAAAATAATAGAATTCGCTTACAGCTTTACTTAATGTAAGAAAATGAAAATGAAAATTTCCCCCCTGGAAGCCCATCTTGTGATGAACACAATAATTTCTTTTATTTATTTCTTTTTGGTATATTTCGTTCATTCCAGAAGCTCATTGTTATATAGCGTTGTCAACATATAATTTTAGTAGTTACATGACGTCTAGAATGGACTATTTTTACCATTCCCACTTAGTGTCTTTTGATAATGGTTAAACTTGTTTGATTTTAGTATCTTCAATTTGTAATTTGCATTTTAGGCTACCCCTTTTCCTAACAACCAGGCATTTTTAGTTCTTGCAGTTGATGCTTAGTCCTTTCTTCTTGCTTTCCTTCCTTAGGAAGGTCAAAAGAATGCTAATTTATAAAAATTATTTCTATATAAATATATATATTGTTTTATTTTTTTTTTTAACAGTGAATTCGATTTAATTTTTTACCATATCGGTAATAATTTCAAAAATTAACATATCAGTAATAATTTCAAAAAGTCATAACCATTGTGGTATGAGGAGCAAGTGAATCCAACAGACCTGTGAAATATATAACCAGGGCCCTCTTTCAGTCTTTCAGCGACTTGACAAATCACCCCACATTGCATTCGAATTTCAGTTTATGAACGAAAACAGAAATTCCTCCTCTACAAGTATGATACTTGGACACTTCTAGTTGAGACAGGAAATAGGACCCAGGCATTCAAGAACAAATGCTTATGAAAGTTCCTCCAAATCTCTTACTGGGAGCAAAAAACCAATGACCATGTGTGAAGCAAAGTCAAAACTCTTGTGGTCAAGAGGAATCTCTCTTCATCACTATTAAGTGCCAGAAGATGTCCTGGTTTGGTCACATCACACAGCCTAAGGATCCAGGCATTCAAGAACAAATGCTTATGAAAGTTCCTCCAAATCTCTTACTGGGAGCACAAAACCAATGACCATGTGTGAAGCAAAGTCAAAACTCTTGTGGTCAAGAGGAATCTCTCTTCATCACTATTAAGCGATGGAAGATGTCATGATTTGGCCGTGTCACACAGCATAGTTGCCTCTGCAAGACCATCATGAAAGGCACTGTTGAAGGTGGATGCAAACAGGGAGAGAAGCACAAAAGCTGGTCAGACATCAAAGTGTGAATGGACATGACAATGCCGGAACACCTGAGAGCCACCAACAACAGATCATCCTGGGGGAGGTTGTCTGTTTCTCCTGCCCTTAGGTCCCCACCCCACAACTGATGATTGAAGCAGTCAAGGGACTCATCATGATGATGACGATGATCATAACAGAATGGAAGGTGAAAATATTGCCACAGCAAGAAATGAAAATATGTTCCCAATATATTTCTTTATTTATTCACAGATTCACACAGCACAGTTTGCGGGAAGGAGGTGAGAACTATATATGCTACTTATTATTTCTCTAAAACTAACAGAGCAGATTTTTCATTCAACCAATGAGAACACAGACTCTCACCTACCACCCCTTTGCCCATCTCTATATCATGATGCACAGTTCACAAACTCCCTAACAATTAGCCCAGAACTATTCTAACTGTAACTGCTTATATAAGTCTATGACTAGAACTTCTTAACTTCCAGCCAAGTGGCACTTGATCCCAAAAGTTTTCATTTATTTATTTAGCCCACTTCCTTTCAAGCCAGTGGGTGGCCCCTTTAAAGTTGTCATTTTTAGAGTTTACTGTATATACAGTCAAAAAAACCCAGCCCAGATAAAGTCATTTAGGGCTTACTTCATGTGTGTTCTACTCATGGCTGAACCCTGTAGTGTTACATAAAATCAGGGTGGTTTTCAATAGCAAAGCAGCTTTTTGCAACCTCCTTATAAGTGGTTGACAACTGCTTATACAACATCTCATGCAGATGTAGCAAAAGAATATAAGCAAGAAACCAGCCAGCCTACTGAATATCAGATTTGGGAAACCATATCCAAAGAGACACAGAAAAGTTGTCCTGGCATACCATATTTGAATGGAGAAGGATTTAGATTAAGCTCTCTTCTAGACTAATGTGTAAGTTGAGCTGGTGTCTTTTGCTTAAGATGGAAAGGAGAAAGCATAGCTGTAGATAAAATATATGCAATCATTTGTGTTACAAAGGTAATTACGAATGAGCCAAGCTGATCAGTATGTCTGCCCCACATTCAAACAAATTCTACATACTTCATGTCCAGAAAAGAAAAAAACTATAACACAAGAAAAATTAAATAAACTACATAACCACAGTAACTTGTCAGTTTTTTGGGTTTTTTTTTTTTTAACAAAACTTGCATAAAAGAGAAACTGCTGCCTAAATGCACAATTATATATATATATATATTAAGTTGAATCATAAATAATTACCGTTTTTTGAACCAATTGTAATAATTAATGTATCATACAAACTACTAATCATAAATAACAGTTGTAGAGTACACTAACATATGATAAGATAGAGAGATAGACTGAGAGAGAGAGAGAGATATAGAGAGATAGATAGAGAGAGAGAGAGAGATAGAGAGACTGAAATAGATAAACTGAGATAAATAGAGATAGACAGATAAATAAACAGACAGAGATAGATATATAAATAAACAGTGATAGATTAGGTTGAGTCATAAGTAATTTCCATTTTTGTGAACCAATTTTAATAATGAATTTATTATCCGAACTGCTAATTATACACAGCAGTTAAGAATAAATTTGTTGTACCATAAAATGCAACAACGTTCAACACAAGAGTCTGGGGATTGACAAGAATAAATCATGACACTCGATCCAAAAATCTGATCTCCTTGGGAAATAGGTGATGGTGTGTATGTGGCAGGATTGTTGGCTTGTTATTCGTTTAGATTTCTTAAAGTGCAATGAAACATTAAATGCACAATTATACGTCCAGCAGCTGCAACGTGTCTATAAAAGCCTGGTCAAAAAGTGCCTGGCGTTTGTTAATAGAAAAAAAAAAAAATGTTACCCTTGTCTATAACAATGCAAGGTCATATACAACAAGACAATATATATATGTGTGTGGTATGACACATTTATGGGTAAAGGTGGTCAATATCAGCGATAGATTGTATGTGAATATAAAAGTTGACACTGAGGTCAACAGTTTCCATCATGCTTGAACATAATCTTCAGGCCTTATATTGGTTATATATATATGTATGTATATATATATATATATATATATATATATATATGTATGTATGTATGTATGTATATATATTTGTGTGTTTTAAATATATGTACATATATGTATGTATATATATATATATATATATAAAAAATTATTATATTTTATTATAAGAGATTATGATAAAAACATTTTTTGAAATTGCTACACAAAAGCTTTCATGTTTCAATACTATGATTGTACTTCTTCAGGTGATGGTAAGTAATAAACCTGTTTTGCTAAATTCAACCAAGGTATGTCAATTTTTTTTTGTATTTTTCTAATTTAATATTTCAACAGCTAATATTACCATTAGACATGTGGAGAACAGATACTACACTTTGATCCCAGGCTGATAGCCAGAGATTGAAGAAGAAAAGCACAACTTGAGTAGCACCGTTTGCTCATTCATTAAATGCTGAACGTTTCCTTATAATGAAACAGCTAATATTAATTACCATTACCATTACAAGCACTGATGACTTGTGAACAGTTTTGTCTACTCATTTTTATTCATTTGAGTCAACCAGGAGTCTGGTTTACATGCAGTTCTCAATGGTGCCGCATGCTGGAATTGTCTCTTCAGGATCATATTCTCAAGACAGGGAGACAGTTGCAAGAATTTGAAACATCAACATGCCTCCTGCACTTAGATCCCTCAGCAAAGCAAGTTAGCCTGCAGTGATGAAATCCTAGATAAGGAATCAACAGGCATCCTTGACTAAATGACCACGATGATATTTGAATCAAAGTCTCAGGGTTGGAATGCTAACACCTTAATTTTTCAGCTCCCCGATCATTATTATTATAAAGAAAATAAACTTTAATAATATTATATAAGTAATCAGTGAGTTGATGTAGTCGTCAGACAAACCCATTATTTATAGGGTGCAAGATATATAGTTGTCAGACAAACCCATTATTTACAGGGTGCAAGATATATAGTTGTCAGACAAACCCATTATTTATAGGGTGCAAGATATATAGTTGTCAGACAAACCCATTATTTATAGGGTGCAAGATATAGGCTGGCCCAGAATAGTAAACAATTTTCCAGAAGACCTTGTAGACATAAAATTTCTGGCAGTGATAGATTGCTTTTGTTTAAGTTTGGATATAAGCCTAAAGCAGTGCAAAGACTGGGAGATATTTTCTTTTTTTTTTCTTTAAAAATCAGTTAATCCCAAGCAAGGCAATAATGCCACTAAGATGCAAGGGGCTACTGGAAGTGAAAGAGAATAAAAAGAATTTAGAAGGAACTAGGAACTCAATAACAGGAAAGAAAGGAGAAACCTCTACTCCAGTTCAATTGACCAGGAAGGCATGTGAACCTATCTGCTCCTATTGAGGAGAAAAAATAATTTGTAAATAAAATTTCAGAGTTCAGGCACAGTCATTAGAAGTGTAGAGTTGAAGTAAGTTTTAGAAGGACATGGAAACAAAGGAGAAACTTCTACTCCAGTTCAAATGACCAGGAAGGTGTGCGAACTTATCTGCTCCTATTGAGGAGAAAAATAATAATTGTTAAATAAAAGTTCAGGTAGAGTCATTAGAATTGAAGTAGATGTTAGAAGGAACAGAATAGAAGGGATAAACCTTTACTTTTGTTCAAAAGACTGGAGAGGAGTGTGAACCGGACAACAGGCAAACCTATCTACTCCTATTAAATAGAAAAAATAAAATAATTAGTAAATAAAATTTCAGAGTTCAGGTGAAGACATTACAAGTATAGAGTTAAAGTAGGCTTTAGAAGGAAATTGAAACCCAATCAGGAAACCAGGGCTAAACCTCTACTCATGTTCAAAGGACTGGGGAGGAATATGAACTGGGCGATAGGCAAAATTACCTACTCCTATTGAGAACAAAATAAATAAATATATAGCAATATGCCTCTAACACTCAAGATTCCGCACCGAGGCAAGTCAATCTGCAGTGATGAAATTTTCCACAAGGAGTCAATATGCATCCTGTTGATTATCACATTTTCCCTTTGGCTGAGTAATGATGCTACAAGATACTGTTCCTCATATGATAAAGAGAGATAAATAAAAGGAAAAATTGTCCATCTTTGATGCATTCTATGATGAAGCATTGGGTTCTGATGAAATTAAATTAGAGACATCACAAAACGCAACAGAATCTTTATGGCGTTGTAACCAGAATTATCTAGAGTTAATTTTTTTTTTCTTAAATTATTTTTCTTTCACCTCAAACATGTTTAATGCTGCCACAAGTTTAAAAAAAAGCATAAAAAGCAAGGTTTAACAATATGGTTACAAGGTATTAACTATTTTTTTTAAATAAAATAAAAACAGGCAAAAAAATGGATAAAAGCCAGCAAAAAGAAAGAAAAAGGGTTAAAAAAAAGAAAAGAAAAGGGAAACAAAAAACACCTGGCAAAAATTTGATATGGACCTACCCCCCCTAATGTAGAAAGTTGAGTACAGTCACTGACACCACCACAGGCCAGCCTCAGCACCACGGGGTGTGGGGTACCGGGCTTCAAGATCGTCACAATTGGCATCTTGGCAAGACAGGAAACACAGGATTTATTTTTCTTTCAGTAAAAGACACATTACTAATGACAGAGGAACTTCATGAATACTACTAATTGGTTTATCATTGCATATTTATAAATAATGAAAATAAACAGTTCTGGAACATAGGCATGCAGAGAATTGGGACTGAGTCTATGGGGGAGGGGAATAATAATAATAATCGATCAAGAATCATTGAAAAAATAGATTTGGAAAAGATGGAGAGTCATAATAAGAATAATAGGCAAATAATAGTACAAAAAGCAAAATTCTGAACTGAGAAGGAGAAAAGGTGAATGAATATTTAGAAAATTAGAGAGAGAAAGAAATGAGAAAGAGAATGAATGAAGATGAAAACAATGAACAGAGGAAGAGGAAGAAAATAATTATAATTCAAGTGCTAAAAAAAAAAAAGACAAAAAAAAGACAAATCAAAACAAGAAGGAAAATTAACAAAAAAGACCCTCCCTAAAAAAAAAGATAAAGTTTAACAAATGTACCTGCAAGAAAAAAAAAAAAAAAAAAAAGCATGTCAAAAGAAAACAGTTTCTCATCACACTGTTTTTACAGTAAACTCCCTCAATAATTTTTATTGCTTTAAAAAGCTATTTTCAGAATTTTAGTAAAACCCAAACATAGGAAATTGGATTTTCTTTTTGTTTTTTTTCAAGAATTCACAACAAAAATATTATAGGCTATTCATTCATTGTTTATTTACAAGAATAATTTTATAAAGTGGGTGCCAATAACTTAGACCGATTTTAAATGTGAAGTTTAAGCGTCTCATGACTTTTTTCCTTTTTCTTTCAGATTTGGCAGACATTTGGGCGATACAATTTTTCACATATAAATGTACATAAATGAAAAATTGCTACTCAAATGCACCCCAAATAAAATCTCTGCATTTACCTTGATAAAAGTCCATCAGGTAATGAACTGCGTTGGTAAAGAAAAGTTTTCCTTTTGTTTTTTATCTATATTGTCTTTGCAGATATATATTATTTACATCCAAATTTTTATGCATGCATACACACGCGTGTGTAATTGACTAAGGAGGAAACCATTGAACGCAGTGTTTTGACCTGCAAAGGCGGATTCAGGTTCAAATCCCACTGGAGGGCATATATTTAAGTTTCCTCGAGTACACAGGGTTGTAGACAAAAAAAAAAAAAAAAAAACTATTTAAAAGAGTCTACTCAAATACAGATATCCAATAAGAATAATGTTAGTATATATATATATATATATATATATATATATATATATATATATATATATATATATATATATATATATATATATATATAAAGGAGGCATTTTGAGTAATGGATAACGGCAAATTCATTGAGGAATCGCAGAGCTGAATTAATTCAGTCAAATTTGTTACATTCACTTATGATTTTAATACCTTGGGAAAGGTATGAATCCTCTCCCCTCCAGCTATGGGTAAAATAGCAGGACAGACTGGGTTCTATAGCCTTGATGGCAACTGATCTAGGAGAAGGACAACTCCAATTCAAAACCTAGGTCAAGTTTGGGAACCTCGTCATAACCAGGTCTCTGTATTCGTCCCTTCAAAAAATGTGGATGGTCCTGCACGAGGCCTTCACCACTATAATCAAATTTCATGTGCGGTGTCAGGCTGTTGGTTTCCTGGAAACTGTTCTGTTTGACCCTCATAGATCGAATCTTGACATAGAGTCGATTATTTTATATATAAAAACACGATCCAATAACTTGGATCAATTTTAAATGTGAATTAAGTTTAAGTCTCTCTCTCTCTCTCTATATATATATATATATATATATATAAATTAAACTTAATTCACATTTAGAATTGATCCAAGTTATTTGAACACAAATATATATATATATATATATATATATATATATATATATATATATAATTTGGTATTCAATAACTTGATCAATTTAAATGTGAATTAAGTTTAAGTGTCTAATGATTTTTTTTCTTTTTTTCTATCAGATTTAACAACTTAAGTCTTCGCCAATTTCAACCATGGAAAGATTAACAATTAAACAACGTGTTAAAGTTATCAAAGTCTATTACGAAAATGGATGTTCAAACAGAAATGCATTTCACACACTTTGCAATTTTTTTGGTCAACATAATCAACAAACCGAGGGTGCAATTAGAAACGATGTAACATTGTGGAGAGCTTCAATTCCTGCGTGTGATGATGAATAGACTGGTCTGGATTTTCAGCCACATTCTCATGCACTGCAGCAATGTCTTCAGCAGAATGGCATAAACAAGCGCACAATGGTGTTTTCATATCTGCCACTGACCCAGTTTGTTTGAATTTATGAACAATTTTTTCAATTGCATTCTTGAAACTTTAACACATTTGATTGTTAATCTTTCCATGGTTGAAATTGCCAAAGACATAAGTTGTTAAATCTGAAAGAAAAAGAAAAAAGTCATGAGACACTTAAACTTAATTCACATATAAAATCAGTCCAAGTTATTGGAACACCTTTTATTTAAAAGATTATAAAAATATGTGAAATAACTATAATGTAATATTTATTATTTACTATATTATATAGAAATAACAATGAAAATTTTTTGTTAATGAATTTATAAAATTTATTAAAATTTATAAAAATATCTGAGCTACAGAACAAGAAAATTTGAATAACCACATGTGTAATTAAAAACTTTGAAAAAATTGATTTTCCAGGCATTTCTTTTATTTGCTCTTGCCAAAAAAATTCCCTGAAAATGTAAAGAGCATTGATTCCTCTAAACCAATGATTCTCAACATAGCCCAGGTGAACCACCAGTGGTCCACATTGCATTTCTAGTGGTCCACAGAGAATTTGTAGCCATAAAAAGATTGTAGCCATTTCACAAAAATGTATCTAAAAAAAAAAGTAGGAGTGGTCCATTTGAATTTTTTGAAGGAAAAAATGGCCTATGGGCTGAAAAAGGTTGTGAAGCACTGCTCTAAACTAAACATTCTTTTAATTTTGTTTTATTAAAATTCTAAAAATAACTTTTTAAAACGATAAAAATTACAGCAATAGCAGAAAAAAAAATCCTTTTGACATAGCATCGTTTTTCTGGGTATGTTTGTTAAACTTTGCCAAAAAAAAAAAATTAACAATACTGTAAAGTGATAACATCAAAACACGATTAACAAAAAACAGAACTAAATCAGTTTATTTCACAGCTCAGACAGAACTGATTAATCGATTGATTTGTTTTTTTTTTATAGTTTATCAACCCTTTGCATGTTATTTAAAGCCAGAAAAGTTTTAGATTGTGAGCATTTTTTGTGGGGAGATAATAATGTTTTAGTGATACAAGTCTTACTAATTAACCCATAGCTGGGGAGAGAAGAGGTGGATTCATACCTAATCAAAATTTGATAAACAAACAAGTGATTATAATGTGGATATTAAGTAGGGGATCAAAATTTATATTATAATCAGTATTAAAACTGATACCTCACTTTGTGGCCAAGTTACTTTCAACATATTTATATTCCAGAGAAAGTAAATAAATCTAAAAGACAATGTCAGTGTCGCTAATTAGTATTTCATTGATTGACTGATTCATTTTCTACAGCTTATCAACCTTTTGCAGGTTATTTAGATCATGAAAACATTTTTTTTTTTTGGTAACGAGTTAATGTTAACTTACTAATTAACCCATAGCTGAGGGGAGAAGAGATGGATTCTTACCTTTCCCAATAATATTTGCATGTAAGTCAATATAAACATCCAAGCTTACAGCATCTTGTATTCCTATACTGTTACCAATCTAGGTACTGACCAGGCTTGACATTGCTTAGCTTCAGTTATTACACAAGAACCAGATGTTTCAATATGATAAGGCTGTAAGGCCAGAGAGGACTTATAAACCAGTTTAACTGCTTTTATGTTTAATCAGGTTTTGATACTACCACTTTATGGTAAAGTTATTTACACTATTTACATTTAGACTATTGTTTTGATCTTTGTTGTTATTGTTGAAGCAGCAGCACTAATCAATCCTAGGGAACAATAGCCTAGTGGATTAAAGCATTGATCCATGAATTTTGGTGAACTGGACAGTGTGTACTTGACCAAGCAATAACTGAGTAAAACAAAAAAATAAGAACTAGACAAGATATCTGTCTATATTTCTGAGATGAGGTATTATGTACACTATTTACATTATTTGGACTCTTGTCCTCACCTTTGTTGCCATATTTATCACAACGTTTCGGCCATTGTACACTCAGGCCTTCTTCAGGTGGTTGGAATGTCGAACTGAACCCTTTATTTTGGTGCCGTAATAAAAATGGCAGCAAAGATGAGGACAATAGTCCGAATAATGTAAATAGTGTAGAATTTGGTTTAGTTTGTTTTGTTTTATGGTATATCAACCTCAATGGGTTATTCAATGCCGACAATTTTCATTGTTGGTAATATTTTTTTCCCAAAAATCTATTTTTATTTTTACCTTCAAAAATCAGATCTATTTCTGGTAAGAATTTCCCTTTGTTGGTAATAATTTTTTTTTTTTTAAATTTATTGCTGGTACTAATTTTGTTATTCAAAATATTTCTAATATTATGACCTATTTTTACACTTTCATAGTGCTTTGATCCAAGTTTGGGGGTTAACTATTTGCCCATAGCTGGGACCCTAACAGGTGCTATCACCCTGTGTCAGGGCGAACCTGGGAACACCAGCAATTAAGAGGTGGTTCCACACTCCTCAAAACCCTCTGATGAGAGGCCTTGCTGTCAGACGTAGTTTATCGTCTTACCCAGGATGCTAAATAGTGTAGAAATGATATCCCTAGTTTGGTTTGGTTTTATTTGTTTTATGGCATATCAATCTTTTTGGGTTATTTAATGCCAACAAGATTTTTATTGGTGGTAATATTTTTTTTTTTTTTTCAAAAATTCATTGCTGGTTTTACAAATCTTTTACAAAAATGTATTGCTGATATTAAAACCTATTTTTACACTTTCATAGTGTTTTGTGGTCAACTATTTGCCCATAACTATGACCCTAACAGGTTCTACCACCCTGGGAACACCAGCAATTAAGAGGTGGTTCCACGCTCCTCAAAACTCCCTGATCAGAGGCCTTGCTGTCAGATGTAGTTTATCATCTTACCCTGGACACAAGATATCCCTAGACATGGGTAGTGGAATGAGAACAGTCTACCCCTGGAGATTAAATAAAGGGTTAAGTTTGGAATGCCCTGTAGATTACCCAGATATACACCAAAACGTTGTGATAACAAAGACGAGGATAATAGTCCGAATGTAAATAATGATAGCTCCTCATTCCAGAAATGTAGACAGAAATTCTGGTAAGGTTATGAGTTGGGATCAGTATAAATCAGATATGAATTGGAATCTGATGGAATGATAATGTTGTTTTCTTTTCTTGTTAATTTTTCTTCTTGTTTTAACACGTGTTTTATAACTTTTATTGAATTTTGTACACCTGCTTTAGTTAATTTTTGTACCCCTGCAAAAATAATAATAATAATAAAAAGACACAACTGATGAAAGAGGGACTTCATAAACAGTACTAATGGGTTTCATCATTGCATATTCATAAATAATGAAAATAAACAGTTCTGAAAAATATACATGCAAAGAATCAGGACTGAGGCTATGAGGGAGGGAAGAATAATAATAATAATCAATTAAGAACCTTTGAGAAAATTTGAGAGAGAAAGATGGTAAGAAAATGAATGAAAGTGAAAAAGATGGAGAGAGAGAGAGAGAGAGATGTGTGAATAAGAACATTTTTTTTTAATGACTAGAATGAAGGAGAGGTTAGTTTGAAAGTGGAGACTTGGTAAAGTGAAGAAAGAAAGAAATATAAATAGAGTGAAAGAATCAATGCAAAAAAAATTGAGAGAGAGAGAGAGAGAGAGGAAGAAAACAAAGAAAAATGGGGTAGGGGTAAAAATAGCAGAAAAGAAAATAGGGGGTAGGGAATAGGGGTATGAAGGGGGAGATGGGCAAAAAAATAAAGAAGAAACTGAGGGAAAGCAAGAAAAGGGGGAAGAGATGGTAAGAAAAGAAGAGAAAATAAAAAGAGGAGGCAAGAAGGGAAGAAAAAAGAGGTAAAGGGAGAGAGAGAGAAAGGAAAAAAGGAGTAGAGAGAGAAGGAGGAAAAGAAGGGACACAGGGAGAGAGAAAAAAAATAAATACAGGGAGAGAGGAAGAGAAGATGGGCAAAAAAGGAGGAAAGTGAAGGAGTTCAAGAAAAGAAGAAAAATGAGGAACACAAGAAAAAAGGTAAAAGAGGGGAGAGACAAAAAGAAAGGAAGAAGTTAAAGGCATACAAAGAAAGGAAAAAAGGGGGATAGGAAGAAAGAGAAAGTGGGGGGGGGCATAAAATAAAATTTTTTCTTTTTAAGCAAAAAGAGGGCAAAGAACAAAAAAAAATGTGGGGATGAAAAGCACAAAGCAATAAACATGAAGTTTTAAAAATGATGTTACCGAAAAATACATTTCAGAAATTAAATATTTAGGAAACAGCAAAGTGTGGTTTAATGTTATTGATATTTCATATGTTTTAAAAAACTTTTTTAGCCTGACGTGTTGAGAATAGTTGCTGTTTATGTTTCCAGCATTCTATCTTGCATACCTTTTATGGACTCATAACAGACTAATGGACAAAACTATCACTCCAAGATGGCCAGAGAATGAACTGGTCAAAAGATTGTGTACAATGAGAGAGAAAGAGAGAGAGAAAAAAAAAAAACAAAAAAAAAACCAGCAAAAATAAGATTGAATATTATTGAATATTAAAAAAAACTATCCTTAAAATCATTTAGACAATAAAAAAAAAAATTAAATCAAATATACTGTCCCCACTGCCCAACCTATTTTAACATGACTGTAGAGATCAATAATTATTATAGGAAGAGAGAGGAGAAAAATAAATAAATAAAGCAAAGTAAAGCTAAATTAGGATTTTTAATAAAAATAATATAAGAAAAATACTAAAAAAAAAAAAAAAAAAAAAGGTTATTTCATCTAAAAAAAAATAAGAGCAAAGACAATGCTGTAGCTACTAGTACTATTAGCATAAAAACAAAAATATGGTACTCAGATTGAGGAATAGAATGATGATTTTAAGGTTAGATTTGATCTTCAGAGCAGCTGATGAATTCAATTAAGATTCCCAGAGTCAAAAGGATCATGAATTCAAATCTCATCTAGAGTTTATTTTTATTTTTTTCTGGTTCTTCTATAATGTGACCACTGAGACTTAATTTCTACAGAAACACACCTCTCCAAGAAATATTTTATTTATTTTTTCATAATACTCTCAATTAAGCTATCAGATCACACACACACACATACATACATACACCGTATATACCCATATCATGCAACTTTTGAAGACCTAATTTTGAAGGTAATTTTAAGGGGGTTGCATCATACATGAGGTTTAAAATTAGTGTATGTACTGCTGGCTCTGGTTTCACCATTGACCAAACTATATATCCATTTACTGCAGTAAATTTACTTAAAAATTAGGTCTTCAAAAGCCACATGATTATATATATATATATATATAGAGAGAGAGAGAGAGAGAGTAGGGCTCGGTGTACTTCTTTCTCTTCCCTACTACTGTGACAATGGATTTTCAAAATAAATATTATAAATATTTGAAATTAATTTTTTCACATTTAATAAACCTAGGTTTTCCTTTTAGTTTTCTGTTCTGCCGATGCTCTAACTACAGCCTTCTTGATTCTCAGCTATTTTGAACAAAGACAGCATTACAATAATATATAAGTAATTTTCTAAATTTTAAGAGGTGATGGATTAGTGACTTTGAATTTGTTTTTAATAAAAGATAATGATTGATTTTGATAAGAAAAAAACCAGAAACAGTTTTTAACTCTAAAATTTTAGGGAGATAATAATGAGATACAAGTCCTAATACCATAGCTTTGGATTCATGCTTTTCCCAAGAGGATTTGCCAACATGCCTGGCTCGGAAGTCCTGTTAAATTCCAAGCCATCACCTGTTACACCAAAGATATCCAAGATTACAGCACCTGATATTCCCACAATCCATCAGGTACTTAGCAGGCTCCACATTATCTTTGAAGATCAAAGGTAGACCACTTTCAAGCAAGAATTGAAAAACTAAAGAAAGAGGACAATAAAAGAACTGTAATTAAGAAGACAGACCTAGACATTGCATTTAAATTTTTGAAGATCAAAAAGCAAGAAGCCAGAAGAGAGCATGTTGTGAAAAAATTATAACATAGAACTTAAGTTATCCCATTTTGACTGAGATGCTGCCAGTCTAGTACCGCGCTTTAAATCCATAAAATCGAACAATTAGCATAACAAAGATGAAAGTTGATTAGAGCCTCTAGTACTTTTATGGCAGTGGGAAAGTGAAAAAGATGTTTTTGCTAACAGACTTTTATAGAAGAATCAGAAGATTAAAGCAAAAATAGAAGAGGTTTATTATAGAACAAGCAGGAAAATTCTCTAGCACAAGAAGTGAGCAGACCTATTTATTTGATGAATCTCTGAGAGAAAAAGGATAGCCAGTTCATGCACAATGAACATTTCTTCAGCAACTGTTGACAGAAGGCAAAAGGGTTCTCTCAGACAATTAAAAGAGATCAGTTTCATCAAGTCCATTGTATATTTTGTTCTTTGAACATATCAAACTGATCAGACTTTAAAGAAAGATGATAAAACTGAAAACTGATGGATCAAAAATCATTTATATGCACATCCATGAATCAAACCCTACAGACTTGGTTAGAAGAGTGGCTTCAAGAGAACATTCATTTTGTGAAAAGAAAAACTGAAACAAAAAAATTTTTACCATAGTTTTCAACTTCTAGAGAAGAGAAATTTGAAGATATTCAAAAATTTGTCATTATCTAAAAGCAGACTCTTTCAGCAATAATTTTATCAAACTAGAAGATGTTGAAAGGTTTATAAAATTCATCTGCTAAAATATATATATATATATATATATATATATATATATATATATATTCAGGAGGACATTTGTGTGCAGAGATGTGTGTGTGTTTTGTTCTGTTATGGACAAAATTTCTCTCATTGGTTAATAAAACCATATGGGTTTGAGAAAAAGATGACCATCAATAGAAAAAATTCATCTGACCTATATATATAATATATATATATATATATATATATATATGAAATTGGTCTCTATTGGTTAATAAAACCATGTTTTAGAAAAAGATGACCACCACCAGAAAAGGGATTTATCCCACAACACAAGAAATTTCTATGCTCCAACAGATGGATAAGTTATCTGCCTATTTCACTCCACATATTTTCTATATATAAGAAAGGACATTGTGTTTATGTTAACCGCTGTATTCATGTTTAGGTGTAAATAAATATCTTTATTACATTTTGATGAAATATTCTTATTTGTGTCGATCCCAAAGTCAAAGGGGACTAGCACAATAAAGATAACTCCCCAAATTGAGTGAAGAGAGGAGGGATAGATAGACAGTACTATTTAACGTTGGAAGTGAAAACTGTCACTATAGAATTCTGTCCCTTTGCACGCATTCTGTTGCCTTGAGAGGGTTGCTATGAATAAGCACTTATTAACTGTTATTTCCAATAATTACAACTGAAAAGTGTTTATTTATACCAACCTCCTCAAGGCCACAGAATGTGCCTACAGCGTGCAAAGGGAGAGAATTCTATGGCGATAATTTTTGCCTTCAGTGTTCTAAAGGTTAACACACTATTACAGAGCTGCCAGTAGTCAGGTGAACCAAACTTGTTAGAGGCTATACAATGTTTCATTCTCTCAGCAAATGAAAACTTAGCCATCTTTGAGGATACGTTTACAATTATTGTGGGCAGACAGATAGGCATCTGTTGCAATCAGAATTATCACTCTGGTACACTCAGAAAAAGTGATTCCTGTGGGCTATAGTGGTTGCACCTGGTATCTATGAGAAGGTACAAAAGCATTAATGCCGGTTTTAACCCAAGGCACAATACTCAATAGGAACGTTAAGAACATTAATCCAGGGAACATCTTGAATAAAGTCACAAAATGAATCGCAATCAGTATACTGGTAACTTCAGAAAGAAGTCTTGTGAATAGAAGGTTCCTTTGTAATAGAGGACTCAGAAGAAATATCAAGAGATACTACAGCATGATCTGAATTGTCAAGAGGACAGAATTGTGATGCTCTACAAGAGCTAGGAGATGAGGTAAGGAACAAATCAAGTAAAGAAGAATGTTGATCAGATTTATTAGGGAAATGAGTCAGGAAATCCACTATTTGACTGAGAGACATAAACTGTGCCTCTTACTCTATAACCATCAAGTAACTCTTGAGCTTGTGTGTGTGTGAGAGAGAGAGTATATATATATATATATTAGGCAGCATATAATTTATATACAAAGAAATAATCATGTATAGAATTAATTAATTAGAATTAATATTGCTGATTGATTCTATAATTGATTATTTCTTTTTATATATATATATATATATATATATATATATATATATATATATATAAGCAAGTGTAAATGGATAAAATCCGACAGAATGTAGAAATTTTGAAAAACAAACAAAAATCCATAAATGTAGTTAAAATGAAAGAATTGTCGACGTCAGACGTTTCGGCTCCAACAAACCATTTTCAAGACAAAATTCATTAAAATACAAATTCAGTTCAATATAACGAAAACGATGGACATAAAAACACAAGTCTTATCCAAGAGTAAAACAGATAACAAAGGCAAAAAC